TTAACAGAACCTCTTTCTATCATCCAATACACCCTCTCTCTCCTCAACTCACCGATCACCGGAATCAATGTCAATGCCACCACTTTCCTTATTGACGCCACCACCGGCCACCGCCTCTCTTACGCCGATTTCCTTCAAAAAACTCAATCTCTTGCTTCTTCTCTCCAAGCCCGTTTCCCTTCCCTTTCTAAAAACGGTGTCGCCTTTGTTCTCTCCCCTCCTTCACCCCATATTCCAATTGTATATTTCGTACTCCTCTCTCTAGGGATCGTTGTTTCTCCTGCTAATCCACTTTCTTCCACTTCCGAGGTAGCTCACATGATTCAGCTGTGTAAACCCGCCATTGCTTTTGCAACTTCCTCTACTGCCGTTAAACTGCCGTCGCTTCCCCTTGGTACTATTCTACTTGATTCCCCTGAATTTCTCTCTATGATTCAAGCTCCCGTTTCTACTCAAATCTCTTATCCAGTTATTCACCAGTCCGATTCGGCAGCGATTCTTTACTCGTCTGGAACTACTGGGAAAGTAAAAGGTGTTGAGTTAACTCACCGGAATTTAATCGCGTTAACAGCCGGTTTGTACTACAACAAATTCAATGATGCTGCTGATGAAGGTGAAAAGGCGGAGCAAGAGGTGTCGTTCATGACGTTGCCGATGTTTCACGTGTTTGGATTTTTTATGCTTATTAGATTAGCGGCGTTCGGGGAGACGGTGGTGATGATTGAGAAATTTGATTTTGAGAAGATGTTGAAGGCGGTGGAGAAGTACAGAGTTACGTACATCCCAGTGTCGCCGCCACTGGTGGTGGCAATGGCGAAGTCTGATTTGGCGTTGAAGTATGATCTCAGCTCACTGAAGCTGCTGGCGTGCGGCGGAGCGCCGCTGGGGAAGGAGGTGGCAGAGCGGTTCAAGAGCAGGTTCCCTAACGTGATGATAATACAAGTATGTGTTCGGTTATCACGCGCTAGATTTGGCTAGATTCGGTTAACATAAACGTGAAAATATTTTATTTAAGTAGGAGTAATTAAAAAGAACTAGAAAGTTGCTGAAATTAAGTGTTGAATTAACAACCTTGATCCAAACCAAGATTCCTGTCCCTGGCTCCCTGCAGAGACGAGACTGGATTCTACTCATCTATCTAACCTTGAGCAAATTTATCGGATAACTATGTTAGTGGGAGTTAGCAGGTATCGAAAGATTAATCTAGACTACCAAAATATTAGAACATAAAATGCTAAATATTGTATATATTTTGTGTAGTGTAGATAGAGATGGTAAGTGTGAACTAGAAATAAGGTGAAAGGTTTCTGGTAAGTGGAGAAGCATAAGGAAAATACTTATGTGAGTAACTATTTTTTCTGTACTTGTGTTATATGCAAATGTGTGCATATTGTGCTTGCATCTAATGATATGACAAAATGTTTTGTTTAATGTGTTCAATTGTGATGCATCATAGGGATATGGTCTGACCGAGACTACTGGAGGAGCAACAGGGATGAGTGGCCCTGAGGAATCAGACCGGTATGGATCTGCTGGTCGCCTTGCTGTGAATGTGGAAGCTAAGATTGTTGATCCTGATAGTGGAGAGACCTTACCTCCTGGCCAGCGTGGAGAGCTTTGGATACGCGGGCCAACAATCATGAAAGGTGATGCTTGCATATATAAGACACAGATTCAAAATGTTAAGTCGTGGGCATGGATCTTTCTCCACCTACTGCTACTTTATGGCAAGAAGTTATTACAAACATATATTTTTGTAAAAGAATAGTTCAGCTATAATTTTATGGTTCAAGTTGAAGACAATAAGTAAGGCTGCAGTCATTGCGCAAATATGGCATTGTCTCCTGCATATATAGTTGTTAATTCACCTTCTGGTTGTGCAAATATGGGCCTTTGAAGTTGATGAATTTGAAAGGATTACTTGAATGGCTTGACATTATTTATATTCACAGCCTTTGCTTGCTTTTTGTCAGTCTGTTCCCCTTATCTGTCATTCCTGTAATACAGAAGAATGTTGCTTCAGGAACTAGGCATTTCAAGGATAGCTTTGAACTGGGATTTCAGCAATAACTTACAATTCGCAGATTGAGTTAGTAAAGTCGAAAGCAATTCATTGTTTTAAAAATTTAACTAGTATAGTTTACTAATATACCACAATCGAGAAGTTTCCTTGTAATATTTTTTATTGATATTTCATGAGTTGAGTGTTGTTGATTTCATTCAAGGAGCCAAATATGAAAAATAGTGTACGTGATTGCAAATATATATGATCTGAAACATACTATTATGTCGTTGCTGCTAAATTTGTTTCCAATATGGCCTTTATAGTACCCTTTCAATCAAACTTGAATTCTGAAAGAGAATGGTGGTGAATGGCAGGCTATGTTGGAGATGAACAAGCAACCTCAGCAACACTCGATTCAGAAGGTTGGCTGAAAACTGGCGATCTCTGCTATTTTGATGCAGATGGGTTTCTATATGTTGTCGATAGGTTAAAAGAACTGATAAAGTACAAGGCGTATCAGGTAATTAAATTATAGCTGATCCTGATTCAGTTGTTACTCGTATGCAAACTTGTTATCTCTCCTCTCTTACTATGTTACTTCTTCAGTATCTTATGAATGGATGAACTTTCAGGTCCCCCCTGCTGAACTTGAACATTTGCTTCAATCAATTCCTGATGTTGCTGATGCAGCAGTTATTCCGTATGTAATCCTATCTGCCTCCCTCTGTCGCCTTTCCAATTCTTGTGCCACTGCTACGTACTCATGTACCAGTATGATGGGAAAATCATAAACTTTTTGAACAATTTACATTTGATTTCATTAAAAACTCACTTCTAGCAATACAACTTAACCAATGGGCATTATTGTGCAAAAACTTGCAATCCAGCTTCCTCTTACAAGGCTACGTATTCGTACTCTCTCTCTAGTATTTAACTAGTATAACATTTGTAATAGAATCTTCTTAACACATGCAATGTCTTTCACAAATTTGGTCTGGAAATTCTACTCGCTTTGGGTTTTTAGCTTCTTGACTCTGTTACTTAGGCTTTTAGAACATCAGGTGAATCTTTGGTCCACTGTACTGTGTAGTTGCAGAGTTACACCATCTGTTCTTTTAGAAGCTTGTGTCTTACCACTTACCTTTATTTCTACATTTTCATACTAATAAAATGATAAAAAGGAAAAGGAGTGTCATATAAACTCATAAACATTTATAATTCTTATTCAAGCCCAGTATTTCAACATGTGATTTTGAGCCTGACATGGAATTCTGTTGTGCCAACAAAACTAAGCAATGGCACAAGCAATTGAAGCAAATTGTTCTGCCATCTAATAATCTTTACTTGCTCTGGAGGTGGCAACGAAATATGAATAAGGCACTGATGTGTCATGTGTGTGTATAATTTTTTTTGTGTGTGCGTGTATTTGAGTATTCGGCCACTGGTGGAAATTATAAGCTTCCCAAGCAGATCTTGAGTCTCAGTTTCTGTTGATATTTTGATGTCCCAACTCTTAATACGATCTTTTTGTTTCACCTGAATCTAGATATCCTGATGAAGAAGCAGGGCAGATTCCTATGGCTTATGTAGTCAGAAGACCAGGAAGCACTATTAGTGAGTCACAAATTATAGATGTCATTGCAAAACAGGTACGCGTCCTGCCTCCTAATGATTAAGATCAAAACCGTTTTGCTTGATTGTTGCATTAATATGTTGTGTAGGTGAATTCTCTGATTGTTATGGCACAAGAAATCAAAATGAACTTTCAAAATCTGTATCATGTTGCTTTGATGTGTTCCAGATATGAACTGGCACATTCATTTGTCCATGTAAACAATGTATGCATATAGTAACCAGAAGTTACCTTGCAGGTCGCACCATACAAAAAGATACGGCGTGTTGCATTCATCAACGCAATACCAAAATCTCCAGCAGGAAAGATCTTGAGGAGAGAACTCGTTAATCATGCCTCTAGTGGTGCTTCTGCAAGATTGTGACGGAACAATTACATATATCTACTTAATCTAAATTACCTGTTCAATTAACGTATAATATGTTGTTTTAAGTCTTCCACGTCACCTTATTGCTTCAATGTTTTTTCCTATGAAGCTCATAATTTAAATTACCAAGTTTTATGCAGCAATAATTCACAGGAGGAAAAGTGCCTTCTTTTGATGTCATGGATAGGGTGATCAATTGTTATATCTTTTTTCTCTAGATATTTGGATTGGCTTTTAAGCTCTTTTTAGTTTTTTTAGTGTTTGACAAAGTTAAAAAATGCTTAAAATAAGTTAAAAACTGCTTAAAACAAGCCAAAAGCAAGAAGTTGGACAATCCCAACTTATTACTTTTTAGCTTAAAAGTTATTTTTGCTGAAAAAATCACTTTTTAAGCTAATCCAAACGGGTTCATACAATAACTTTTTTCTATTACACTAGTCTGTGTATAGAAGTAAAACACTTCTAACGTATTAAGGCAAAATACGTCACTCGCTTAGGTTACAAAATACTTAAAAGCTTTCCCCAGATGTTCAAGAATAGCAAGTTTATTTATATAGAAAATTGATAGATAAGGGTAAAATCAGTAACTCATATAACTAAATTTTGGCAAGATTCCAAATTTCAAATACATGAAGGTCAGGTTTATTCATGATATATGAAGGAATTTAAAATTTTGGATACCTCAGGAGATGATTCCTATAAATACCTCTATTGAAATTACATTAAGAAATCATCTCATGATATGACATCTTGAAAGTCTTCTCATTCCTGCCCTACAATATTCTGCTTTTGGTTTACCTTTTCTTTTCTTTTTTTCTTTTTTTAAATATTAAAATCTNATATATATATATATATAATTTTGAATTGTTTTTAAAGTTTTATGAGTGATTTGAATAAAAAATTTGAAAACAGTTTTTTGTAATTGAAAATTTGAAAATTTTATCGCAAAACACCAATTCTGTAAAAAGTAAAAATGTTTCTAAAAAAGTGAAAAAAAGGGAAAATTAAAGCAAGAACAAAGAATTTGATAGAGTCATATGAAATGTTGCTTTCTGAAGCATAAACCTTAAGCTACGTGCTAACGTCTCTTGTGTCAATTTAGTTGAAAAAAAGTTACGAGCTATAAGCAATCACCCAAAACCTCGTGCTTTTTCAGCACCTCATTCGGGTCATGGCCGCCGTCGAATGCCGCCCACCGGAACCCGAAGCCGACGACAACGACAACTCGATTCACGTCTCGCTTATAGACGCTATTCAAAACTTCACTGATCTCGACATTTCCTTAAATAAGCTTGAACGCTTTCTCCGAGTTTTGGGCTTTTGTCAATACTCTATTTTAAGCACTGCTCTCTCCTGGCTAGCCTTTTTTGTCATTTCAATTATTGTGCCTCTTCTCGTAGCTTACTTCACTTACTGCTCTAATTGTGAGCGGTATAAGATTGATCACTTTGAGCTCGAGGTTCTTGTAAGCCAATCTATTGCCGCCGCCACATCATTGCTGTGCATCTCACACAATCTTCGTAAATATCGCATCAGGAAATTGCTTTTCGTGGATCGGTACCATGGTCAATTGACTCAGTTTAGTGAGCTGTACCTCAAAAAGATACGGGTAAGTGTTCAATTCAAGCCTTAATTTTTGTTAATCTCACATCCACGATTTCACCCAAAATGGAGTCCATATTTGTTTAGCTATTCTCCCAATTTATTTGACTGGGTAGAGAGCTTAAGAACCAATAGTTTTGAAACATGTGGTTTGTGTGGTTATAAATCATCTAAATTCGACAGTTTAAAGTTATATTACTTCCAAATATAGAAAGGTATCGTTCTTTTTGGACAAACTAAAAAGGAAAGTATGTTGCATAAATTGTAAAATTGAAATAGTATGCTATTGGAAGTCTAATAGAGGATAATTCCAAGAGATTAAACTTATCCCCACCGACTGTTTACACCAAACTATATTAGCTTATCATGGTTAAGTGTTTAATGAAGTGAGAATATATGTTAATTGGCCATGGTAATATTGAGAAATATACAAACATATGTCATAAATCTATTATTTTGATGTCAACAACTAGTGTTTCAGGAATCTCTAAGCAGGTAAGTTTTTACCATTCCAACACGATGTTACTCCTTGTTTCTCAATCTTGGAATTCTGATTCTATGAACTTTGTTGTTTCCAGGTCTTTTATTATTTGGTGGTTTCATGGATGACAATTTGCTTTTTGCTGAAGATAACTCGGGCAGTCACTAGGGCTGTGTATCTTTATGATGGTTCTGTGTTGTGGTCAATTGGGATTGTGGTTGCTTCACTTGTCTCATGGGCATATTCTACCATTATCTTTCTTGTGGGAACTGCTCTGTTTCATCTGGTGGGCAATTTGCAAGTTATACACTTCGAACATTTTGGCAAGCTTTTGGAAATGGATATGGATGTCTTGGTTTATATCAACGAACATATGCGTCTGACATATTATTTGTGTAAAATTAGCCACAGGTTTAGAATGTTCCTCCTCCTGGAGTACTTGATAGTCACAGCCAGCCAATGTATAGTTCTATTACAGACAACTACAAATCAAGGAATTATCAACTTCGTAAATGCTGGTGATTTTGCGGTATGCATCTTGATAATAAGTACCATTCACATAATCACTTGGTTTCACCGTCAAGTTCTTTAATTGTTTGTATGCATCTAAAGATACTATAGAATTTTAAGCCCCAAATTCTATAGATCTTGGTGCATTTATTCAACAAGTTCAAATCCCAGTCTTGATTGACTTACAGTAACTTGATTGTTCAGGCATATAGTCTTCTTTCCCAGGTGAAGGGGAACCCATGACAATCCTACTTTTAAATTTCTCGCCATGTTGGTTTATATGAAGCGCCAAAAAGTGCATTCAAAATCTTTGAGACTTGTGTATACCATCAAATCTTTTGCTTATGTCTTTACTTTGTGAACTTAAGAAACAAAGTCATCATATTAGTGGTTATTCTCTACCGAAGTATATTAAAACTGTTACTTGGCTGATCGTATTATTTTTATTGAACTTCATATTCAGGTATTATCAATTGTTCAACTGGTTGGACTACTTATATGTCTGAATGCAGCTGCAAAGATATCGCATAGAGCACAAGGCCTGGGATCAGTAGCCAGTAGATGGCATGCACTAGTTACATGTAATAATGATGACACTTCTGTCTCCGGACTTTCATCTGATGGTAGAAATGTTGAAGCACCAAAAACACTGAGCCAGCTGCCTGTAAATAATTCAGAAGGTGATCTGGAGTCCGCTGATTGTATGCCTCCACCTACAAACATAGAACTCACCTCTACTATGTCGTCATATCACAAGAGACAAGCATTTGGTATGCAAAACCAAACTTCTGCTGAAATTTGTACTTCTTCTATGCTTGTATTATCAATATGTTCCTATTATGCCCAAATGAAAAGAGAATTTTGCAGCTTTAATGACATGATTCACTGAGGCAATATAAGGGGTCTGTTTGTTCAACAAATAGTATAAATAACATCTAGTCCACATTGTTATAATGATTGATGTACCTGCATGATGCATATGCCATAGTCAGGTGAAGTGAGGGTCTAAACTGCCAGAACTACTAGATTTTTTAAGACAAACTGCATTTAATAATAATCTCAATAGTCTTTGCTACTCCAAAACAGAATTACCTAGTTATCAGTACTAGTCTCTTATCAGACAGTTGAGTGAAGCCCCTAGACAAAAGGGGTCTCATAAGATTAAACACTTCAAGTTTCTAAGAGTTGATAAAACAAGTGTTGTGGGCGTAATATTTACAATTGTCTAGATGTAGTGGGACTACGATGCATCGCTTGGTTTTTGGTTTTTGGTTTTTGGACCTCTGGAGAAGTGGAGTTGGATTTTCAGATCTCTAGAGAAGCAGACTGGGAAGGTTGGGGATATGCTGTGTAAAATACTAGCAGTTGTATTTTATGTCTTGTAACGAGTGGCAATCATCGGTTTAGATCACCCAAACTTCCATTACATTCTTGTTTTTCTGTATTATAATATATGTATATCATTCACATTATGTTCCAATCAAATGTAAAATTGCTGAGTAGAATCTCTTAACTTTATATTTTTTTACGCAGACAGCAAATTAAATCTAGTTTGCTTTATCTATGCAGTGGCTTATGTGCAGTCTAACCCTGGTGGTTTTAGCATTTTTGGATGGAAGGTTGATCGATTACTCATTAACACACTTTTCTTCGTTGAGATGACTTTGGTTACTTTTCTACTCGGGATGACTCTAACAATAAAAGGTAGGTGACATACACCAGACTGCAACAACAGCTAAATGCTGCATACAAGCAACTCCAATTAATTCTTCATGTGCTTTGCAGCTCTCCTCGAGTTTCTCTTATGGGAAAAGCTAGAGCCATAACCTTTTGCTTCTCCGTATAATGATACAAACCTGATTCCCCTGTATTTTGGATATCACTTTTCATCATGGTCCAAAATAGGGATGATATATGTAAGAACACTACTGTGTTATTTATTTCTCTTCTTCTCTCATGAAACATCAACTGTATTATTGACGAAAACAATGTTGTGCAACCTCTGTAAATTTTACTGTATCATATTGTTTACCCTTAAAAATGAGTAACAATTAAATTTGTTCGCGGTTTAAAGGAGACGTGATTTAATTTAACACGAATAATCTAAGAACAACAAATAATTACATTAAAGAGAGATAAAACGATCAAACCAAACGCGATGGAACAATTAAGCCTGGCTTTGGATTGAACACTGCAACTGGCTCCGATCGAGTCCTCGATATGGGCTCAGTTGTAACTAAAGAAAAAGGGAACTGAATAATACTTTGAACAACAGTTAGAATATAAAAATGAACTTTATTGCTTTGATATGTGTGCCAACAATGATATAAAACGAAAAAGTTATCTCCTTTATATAGTAGGAGAATTTCAATCCTAGTACAAGTCTAAATAAGGTGAAAATCTTCTTTTTTGGGTAAATGTTAATCTGCAGCTGATATCGGGCTGGATTTGCGCCGTAATACCCGATTGAGGGAGGATATCATGGCTCATCGTTTATCGTGCTTAACCGTTCCTCTTTTTCCTTAGTCTCGAACCTCCACTCTGCCCGAACCCGATGCTCAGCCGTGTCTGATCGCGGATGCACAGTTCGTCCTCTCCGGTCTCATAAACGAGGAACCCTTCGGCTTTACTCGAGATTGCATCACATCATGCTTCCTACTCATTTCTTTATCGAGAAATTGGGGGGGGGGGGATAATATTATTCCCGATTTTACCCGTACACAAATAGTCCCCTTCACTTTTCGGTGAGTAGATTTATCGAAGCGACGAGAAGTGATTAATTAACCCCGGCTCCTTTCTCTATACGCTGCAATTGGGTCGATGGATCAATGAAACATCCCATTAGTTGCGTCGTTCTGACTTTGGACACGTGTCAACTGCCGGTTGACCATCCCCGAATGCGAAACGTCACGCATTAATTACCTCTTCCCTATAAATTCTTCGGTTCTTTTTTCACTTTTTTACTTTCCGGTTTCAGAACTTCTTAATCTACCCCCGAACTTTTTACTTGCTCGTAACCCCTTCAAATCTTCATACGATGTTCTTCATATCCTCATATCTTCATTTTCTCATCTTCAAATCTTCATACTTCATCCTTGAATCTTCAAGTTTGACTTTCAAACCTTCATACCCGCCTTCATATATTCATATTCCCAAAATTCGATGGCGAAAACTTCGAAATCCAACAGACCGCCCATTCAACTTCTAACCCGGCCACGGATGTCAAGGTGGTCGTATCCGAAGTCGCTCCAGAACCTTCTCTAAAGAATTTCATCTCAGGAGGCTGCTCTATAAAAAACGACTTTAAGGTCAAAAAAGCCTCCAGGCAAGGGTATCGAGGCGAGGAGGTATGGAGATACATATGCTCCATCAGCTAGGACACGCTCCCGATGGTTCGGAAGGACTGCAAGTGGGAGGGCAATGAAGTGGTCGTTCCTGGCCCTATGAGGACATCACCACACACGTGGAGGGGTATCTAAGTGTTTATACATACCCCTTCACGCTTGGCCCGGTGGATATAATAGTCCTCGACTTTTGCAAAAAGTACGAGGTCTACCTCGGGCAGATTCACCCATCCTTTTAGAGGATCGTGATCCTCCTCCATCACTTCGTCAATGATAGTATCCTAGGAAGTACAACTCTATTCAAGGACAATGATGAAGCTTTGGAATCATCTCAAAGATGGCCTTTAGCAAGATGTCAAGCTAAAGAGTTGCAAAACAAGGCCATTAGACTTCAAGTGAAAATAAAGAAGCTTTTAGTTGTGGAGGACGAGCTCAAGCCCAAAGGAGATAAATTGTACAAGTTTTACAATTATTTGGTGGCCCAAATTGAAGTCCAAGAGGAGGAAGATTAGGTCCCGAACTCGGCCCTTGAAATCTAGCAAAAGGGCACCCAGAAGAGTCCAAAATGAGCTTAAAAGAGGTCCAAAGGGGGGTGTTTGAAAAGGAGCCCAATTGAAGTCCAAACCAATGGCCCAAACCAGTAGTTTTAAGGCCCAAATCTGCCCCAAAGAGATTTGCCGCCCCTACCTAATTTTGTGACTTTTCTTATTTCTTAGCAACCACCCTACCTAATTTTGATGACTTTGTTACCCCTTAGCAGCCCCCTACCTAATTTTGATGACTTTTGTTACCCTTTAACAACCCCTACCTAATTTTAAGGACTTTTACTCCTATAAATAAGGCGTTCTTCTCATTCATTGAGACACTTCATTATTGATTAAGTATATCATACTTTGAGAGTTCTTTTGAACCTTTGTTACTTGTGCTTTGAGATTTATCTTTTAACTTTTACTAGTTCATAGTTCAAGGTAGTAAGATTACTTCTCTATTGTGATATCTTTGATTCCTTTGTGGTATTCTTAGAAGGCGATTAATACTAGTTATTAATTATTGTCTCAAGTTACTCGTAAAGCGGTCAAGATCCAAATCTATTATTTTGAATTGCTTTTAAGTAAAAGCGTTTGATTTTTTCAATAAATCAAGACGTTGTTGCTTTGATCTTGTCAAGGCTATAGAACTTGCGTTCTTGGAAGTTCTTGGAATTCTTTCCTTGAATTTTCCCATATTCTTTATTTTCTGCCCTTTAGTTGTAGTTATTCAATTCCTTATTGTTATTGCTTCCGCATTTACTTTTCAAATTCTTACTCTAGTTGGGATTCCCGACCTAGTCGTTATTAGTCAATAATACGAAGGAACCTCGATTTACCATAGACCATCTGCTTCGCCTCTACAGTCTCTGCATCTTCCGAGGGGGATTAATCAAGCTCGTCCGTCGGGAAAAGAAAGCTACATTTTCGAGCATTGATGAGGACTGGGATCGAGGCTGGCAGGGGAGATTTGTTCGGGTGAAAACTGAGGATCTTATTCTCCCCGAGTTCCTGTCGTTCCCTGCAAAGTGGAACCTAGCACGTAAGTTCCTCTCATCTTGAGTATTTAGAATACTTGTTGGGTTTTGTTCTTGTTTCTCATCGCCTGGTTCTACCGTTGTGCAATAGTTCCCCGCTTCAAAGAGTGGGTCGAGGAGATCTACAAACAATTATCGTACTTCGAGTGCTAATGGCGCAAACTCTCAAAAGGCAAGTAGGAGGCTCGTTCCCATGGTGAGTGTACTTCCCCCGATTGAGTTTTCTTAATCTATTCAACTGTCATCTTTACTAAGTCCCTTTCTTCCATCCATACGTTTGCCCAAGACCACCGTGCTTCGGGCAGTGGACGAGGACGAGGCTCTGTCCTCACCTACTAAACCCTCTGCTTTGGGACAGCCTGTCGTCGAGACCGTTGTGAAGAAGGAGGAGAAAAAGAGAAAAAAGAGGGGGTCTTCCGGTTCCCCGGACGGCGAGGCCAAGAAGAAGAGGGTCGCGATTAGGGTCCAAAACAGTAACAAGAAGAGTACCTGGGCTAGGGTACCGGACCCCGAATCCCTTTATCGGCTCAGGGACTACCTTGAATATGACAACTTGGAGTTCGTCTCCCATGGACCGGCCACTGATGCAGAAGAGCTGGAAGCATCGGAGGGTAGTAATCGGGAGGCCGAACCCTCTTTGGCTCGGGAGCCCGAATGAAAGCCAGTGGCTACGGACTCTCGAGAAACTACTCCCGCTCCGAGAGAAGCCGCCGGTGTCATTGACATCCCGGAGTCGCCGTCTCACACGGATTCTCTATTTGATGAGGCTCAGGACATCAAAGAAAAACCAACTGAGACATCACGGGTCGTAGATGAGGCCCTCAACCTATTCTTCGAAGGCATGAATATCGGTGTGTTGGAGGACTACTTCAGGTTTGGTCACCCGGAGATCCTGAAATAGGATATGGTACCGGAGTCAGGTGGGCCGAGCTCGAGCCCAAAGCTGGTGAAGCAGTTCCCCGCCCCGAGCATGGATCCCGACCGTAAAAGAATGGTCATGTTTACAATCCTGGCAGATACCAGGTTGTTGTCCGGACCGGTTGGCATTGCGAGCTACCTTCGCTGCTTGGTGACTGAAGAGGATCAAGCGGAGATGAATGAGGTGGATGCACCGAGCCTTTTCAATGATGCACAACAGGCGCTGAACAGGGTATGCTTTTTTTTTTTTATCCACTGAAGGGTTCATTTAACCTTAGCATATTCTTACGATCTCATCATTTTTGTTTCTCAGGCATCGATGCTTCATCACGAGAGCTTCCATCAGTCTTGGTTGTTGGTGAGCCAATTCGGGTTCGAGCTCAAGGAACAAGTCCGTCATAAGGACATGTACAAAGCTCTTAGCGAGCAAAGAGACGAGGCCCTCAAGAACCTCCCCATCCTCCAAGCTGAGCTGGAAAAAGCTCAAAAGGTGGCTTTGTCGTTGAAACGGGAACCTGCCGTTCTGGTCAAGAAGGTAAGGATATTTGAGATTAATAACGAGAGGTTAAGCGCAGTAGCTAATGCCGCAACCTCACAGGTCCAAGAGAAGATAGACCTGATTGACCATCTCCTGGCCGAGATGATCGAGCTTAAAGCTTCGGCCGAGGCATTGAGGAGCAAGATAGATCTTCTGGCCTCGGAAAAGGAGGCCACTAAAGAAGAGTTGGCATCGGCCAAGGACCAGCTCAAGGTACTGAAGGAAAAAGCCGATAAGTAGTCTCGCCTGAATGATGAGATCCGAGAACAACTAGGCTCGGCCATCTTGGAACGGGATGCCCTCGGCCAAGAGTATATCGCATTGAAGTCCAAGTTGGAGGCGACTTCGAACGTGTCCTGCGAGGTCCAGGATATGCTGGCCCAAAACAAGAACGACGTGGAGATAGCTGAGGACCATTTAATAACAAAGGCTGAATGTGTCAAAGACCCTCGAGGAGATTCACACCCGGGGGTTCGATCTCACAGCCGAGATTGAAGAGGCTAAGAGGCTCGAGGCCGAGGCTAAAGAGATATACGAGCCCGAGGGTTCAGGCAGTGAATCGGGCTCTGGCGAAGACTAGGCGGAGATGCCTTAATTTATTTTTTGTTTTCTTTTGTACATTGTTTTATTTATTTTGAGGTCGTGTTACCGTGCC